AGGGATTCTAATTTTCTACAGTAAATCAATTCTCATTTTCAACCACACATTCTTCAATAAAATAATATTTTCCATCACATCAATAATTTTTTCTTCTTTTTCAACCACACATTTTTCATCATATCACTATTCAAAATCAATTCTTCCCCCAAAAAATCCTTACCAAACAAGCTCTCAGTTCCTGTTTGCCATTACTTTTATCAACCACATTTTTTTTAAAATAGATTTTGATAAAATTTAATGGACGTGTGATTGAAAAATTATGAATTTTATGTAATCCAACTAAAGTCTAACGTGAATTTAATCAATTGGAATTAAAATTTATTAAAAATATTATATTCATCAAAATCAAACAGGATTTTATATTTGGATATGTTTCGGCTCGTGGGACCCAGTGAGGGTAGAATATTCGGTTACGCCAACAACCAAAAGTAGATAAAAAGGTCGGCGTTTGTTGGACCATCTATGTACTATATTTTTTTCTGGCTGGCTAGAAGCCGCCAAAATCCCAAGTAAAGCTAGTGAGTGTTAGTGAGTCCGATTGCTAGCTTTAAATAGACCATAATCCACAAAGAATCCGATGACAAAAATCACTTGTATGTTTTAACACTCGTATAAATTCATCGGAAGTTATCCAAATTTTCTGTATGAATTTCCTTATTCTATTGATTATAGATTATGATGTAATTTGTATTATATTATGTATGTATGATGATGGAGTTGTATGTCGTAAGCTCGAAGTTGGTTGCCTGTTCTTCAAACTCGAAACCGATTCTTTATTAAATTATTTGATTATAGATTTTTTGTGCACGAAAACGCGTGATTACTTCATCTCTTCCGTTTTTTTATTTTCATTTTTGTGCTCAATTATGTTTACAGTATTATTATAATATGAGATATGGTTTACCGTTTTGAATTTTTCCCTTCGTGTCTCCATCATATATTTATTTTCGGTTTTGTGTGTTTTTGTATATAGCTGGAGTGGAGGAAAGGAAGTATACCCACTTGGGAGGATTTTGAGAGAGAAATTTAGGAAAATTAGGATGCCGGTGAACATGATTCGGGATGGTGATGGATCGCCTCGAATTAGATTGATTGAGCCCACTGGTTCAACAGCTGAGGTTTGTCGATTTTATTTTATTTTCCTTTTCTCTATTTTAGCCTTATGATTTGGTGAGTATTACACAAGACTGGAATAAGTTGGTTTGGTACTTCATGTTGTGTGTAGTTTGTTTATTTTGTTCTGATTCATAAAACTGCAATTGCTCGCACTGTTCTTTTCACATATTTATGTTTTTTTGCTTTGGATTGGAAATATAAGTTACTATTTAAAGGAACTGGAAGTTGAAATATATAAGAAAAACTAAAGTTCCATTTGAATCCAAATTCATCAAAAAAATTTATGATATCCAATTCTAAATAATTACTTTGGTGCTTGCATCAGCATACTCAGTCCACGAACTGCTATTATTTTGATTTTAGTACAAAATTTTGGATGAATATTTGACTCTGCATGTTCACTTGTTGCTCTAGGTGCTTCTGTATGGTGCACAAGTTGTCTCTTGGAAGAATGAACGAAGTGAAGAGCTGCTTTTCAGGAGCAGCAAGGTGAACTTATTTTGTTGGTGTGTTTGAGATCTAAATAAAGTCTTTTGGAGTAGATATTCAAAACTGGAATCTGACATTTGGATGGATTACTATTTTTGTCTCGGAATGTATGTCCACGCATTTTTTGGTAGAAATTTTAGGGTGGCAAAGCAAGAGCCCATTTGGTTGAGATTAAAATTGAAAAACTAGCCGTTATTGTTGACTTTTATTAGACGAGTGCGACCCAATAACGGCCAAATTTTCAATTAAAATTGGATTTTAATCCTGATCAAACATGCTACAAGTTCTTTTCACACCTAAAATGGATAGAGATTACTATATGTAATTGAATTTTCATGGAACTGCCCATTCAACACACCAGTAAATAGTATAAATATGTCCCTGGTTGGTATTTTAAACGCATTGACATTTTACCTTTTCCACAGTTTTTTTTTCTCCTTTCTTTCGGATCCATGAAAGGTGCATCGAAAAGTATGTTACCATTCATTTCTCTTTAAACTCCAACTCTCATTACTGTTTTTTACTTTATGTGAAAGAATAAACTACTTTATTACTTGACAAAAAGACAGTGCGTGACTTCTTTTTTGCCTTGAAATGTCTTCAATAAACGTTTTTTATATTCCTTCTAAACCCAGATTACAACATGGAATTCTGTTTATGAAGAAATGTGTCTAGGTTGCCTAAGTGCAGGCCATGCCTTTTTCTGTTTTCAATTTATGCTGAATACAAAAATACTTTCTAAGTTTTGTGTCTTTCTATTCTATTTATCAAGAATTTTTATAATTAATGATAAATATACATCTTTCTCTATCCCGCAGGTTTTATCGAAACCGCCTAAGTCCATCAGGGGCGGTATCCCCATTTGCTTTCCCCAGGTTAACTGCCAACTTTAACTGGAAATAGACTTCTACACCTTATGGACTGGAGCTATGCATTCTTATCGTTACTTTCATATTGTAGTTTTTGAACTTTGATTCGCTGGAGCAACATGGATTTGCAAGGAATAGGCTATGGTCATTTGATGATTCCCCTTTGCCCCCAGCTAACAATCAGTCTACTGTGGATCTTATTCTGAAATCCACAGAAGAGGATTTGAAGATTTGGCCACACAGGTAAGGATGCGAAAGATATGATACTTAATAGCAGTATGGGAAATTCTTTTCTAAGCTTCAAGCTTCTTCTGGTGTTTTTTGAAGATTTGAGTTGCGGTTACGAGTTTCTCTGAGTGCCAACAAGCTCACCTTGATTCCTCGAGTGCGAAATACTGATAGCAAGGCCTTTTCATTCACATTTGTTTTGTGTAATTATCTATCTGTATCTGATATCAGGTTTGCGTCATTATTTTACAACTTATTCTTCCATATTAGGTTAAATTATGTTATTGCTAATCAACTTTTAACTTTTTGTTGAGTTATTTCGTTGCCAATGCATAGCATTCTTATGTTATTAGTTTTATATTGATGAGAAATTCCATTAATTTTTTGTTCTTTTTTCAATGCTAAATCTATTAGATACTTTATTATCCTTTTCAGATAGGTTCCATGATGCCATTTGATTTGCAGTGAAGTGCGTGTGGAGGGATTGGAGACACTTGACTACCTTGATAATTTGTTGCAGAAAGGAAGATTTACAGAGCAGGCAGATGCAATTACCTTTGACGGCCAGGTACTACCTTGCATGTTTCAAGTATTTCTTCGCTGTGCATGTCAGGACCACATTGGGGTAGATGCACTATCCTGATTCAGTACTGTCCTTTGTTATACCTTACACTTAGACGATTCTGTA